GATATTCAGCTCTATATTTCTTTGTGGCCCGATGAAACATCAATTCGCAAAAAATAATGGAATGCATAGTTGAACTGGATGACTAGTAATTTCCTACTGCTAAATTCTGGCTGCTCTGTTAATTCTTCGTCATCAGTTAGGAACCTAGGTGTGCTATATGAAAGCAATCTTTCCTTTGAAAACCATGTTTCTAGCATTTGTAAAACCACATTTTTCCATCTTAAAAATATATCTAAATTATGACATATGCTATCAATTTTAAAAGCAGAAACGTTAATTCAAGCATTCATGATCTCAGGGTTAGTTTAATGTAATGCTTTATTGGGTGGTTGCTTTGACTGCTTAATAAACAAACTCCAGCTGGTCCAAAATGTAGCAGCTAGAGTTCTTACTAGAACCAGGAAGTACGACCATATTAGCCCGGCTCTGTCAACTCTGCTCTGGTTCCCTATTGAACATCGAATACATTTTAAAATCTTGCTAATTACTTAAAAATCCCTGAATGGATCAATACTTAAGTGACCTCATATTGCATCATTGTCTTTCATGTCAGCTGCGATCTCAAAACTCCTGGCCATTTGATAATACCTAGAATATCAAAATCAACTGCCGGTGGCAGATCCTTTTCCTATTTAGCACCCATACTCTGGAACAATCTACCTAGCGTTGTTTGGGAGGCAGACACACTCTGTCAGTTTAAATCTAGATTAAAGACCTCTCTTTAACATCTCCTTAACCTGGCATACACATAACATACTATCAGATTTCTATAATTCAAATCCATTAAAGGATTGTTAGGCTGCATTAATTAGGTCAACTGGAACCGGGAACACTTCCCATAACACCCAATGTACTCGCTGCATCGTAAGAAGAATGGCATCTAAGCTAATATTAGTCTCTTTCATTCCTATTCCGAGGTCACCGTAGCCATATAGAACCAGTCTGTATCCAGATCACATGGTCACCGTAGCCTCCCAGTTCCAATCCGTGTCCAGACCAGATGGTGGATCAGCAACTAGAGATGACCTCTACAGCCCTGAATGTCAACTAGATGAGCCACCGAGGCAGATCCCCTGTGAAGACCTCGTCAACTAGACAGTCATCGGCACAAGACCACGGGAACCAGACACATCCTCTGCACAATCTAACCTGTGTTGCAGCCTGGAATAAAACCACACCATGCTGGTTTCATCTGGCTAGAGGAGAACTGGCTCCCCGACTGAACCTGGTTTCTCCCAAGGGTTTTTCTTTGTTTCTGTCACAGATGGAGTTTTGGTTCCTTGCCACATTCGCCTTTGGTTTGCTTAGTTGGGGACGCTTGACTGATTGCACAGACACTACACAGATTCCCATTCCCACTCAGACAAATGTCTAGGATATTCACTCTTGCCCAAACAAATCTACTAATCATTACAGAACTTTTCATCTATGTGGACAGAGTAGAAGCATTTTTTGGGGATGGCTGCATTATGCTTGTCTTGAATACTTCATTTATTGAACTTTAGACACAGGGAATCATCTTAGATATATTTGTCTAATTTTACTTATTTTATTTATTTCTTTAATGAGGAAAGACCTCTCCGAGATTAAAAATCGCGTTTACATGAGTGTCCTGGCCAATTTATACACATATACACAATAATTTACATATTATTGACTCATCCTCCAATTCTCAAATGATATTTAAAAAAAAAATGTTTTAAAAGACACAAATTATAGCTTTAATTTCATTTAGAGAGAATTCCAATCCATAGGGTAAAACATACTTAAAAGTATATTTTCAGTTCAGAAAATAGGTGCAGAAAGAGAAATTTTGGGAACAACGAAATAAACTACCAACAATTTTCTGTTGAAGAAAACAAAAT